ATACAAATCAGTGATATTATTAACAAATTAAAGTATTGTTAAAAATTAACGATAATACATATTGGAAATATACTTTTGTAAATATATAAATAAGACCCAATTATCGATATAAATCGGTAAATATTTTTCTTTCTCTAAATTTTTTCAACAAATATGACAAGATTAAAAAGAAACCTTTATAAAGATAGTACAAAAGATCGCAATATTATTCCTAAAATTACAAATATATTAAGATCAAAGAAATCTGATAATAAAGGTTTTGCAAAAGATTGTAATACTCCTAAAACTAGGCATTTGGTTAAATACAAATGTATTTTATATTGCCGTAGTAGTAAATTAGTTAATCTTAAAACATTTAGGAAACATTAGCAAGAATTAGAAAGATTTCATGTCATTACTTCTGAATCTTAGCATTCTATCTAATCTAGAAGAATTAGAAGTAATAAAGTCGATATAAGAACATCATCAACTTTGAAAGAAAAAGAAAGAATCAAATCGGTTGATCGATATCAAAATTCATCTGATGATTATTTTAGTGATGATTCAATTCCAATTGATGAAGAACCAATTGATATACATAAGAAACGAAAACAATATAATAAATTTCATGATCCTATTTATGATGAATTAAAACCAATTCTAATCGAAGAAGAAGAAGAAGAAGTTGATGATATGTCTAAAACAGAAGATGATCACGGGTTTAGTGATGATAATTGTGGATTAAGTGAAGATGATGTTCCGTTTAAACAATTTATTGCTTCCGATTTTGATGACCTTGATGAATCAGATCATGAATATTCTGGCATGAATGTTAACTTTAATGATCCGTGGATATTGTTATGGATATTCAAGTTTCAAGCAAGATTTCGTCTTTCTGACGTTGCTATTGATTCACTTATTAAGTTTTTTAATATGGTTTTATTAGATGCTGATCAGTCTCGCTTTAAAGACTTTCCTACAAGATCTTATATAGCAAAAAAAATGATAGGAATTGATAAACAAGCAAAGATATATGCAGTATGTTCAGATTGTAATACATTATATAAAATTTCAGAAATTTTGCAAAAAAATGTGAATGATCAGTCAAATAATAGGTTTAAATGCACTAATGTGGAATTTCCAAATCATCTGAGAAAAGGCCAGAGGAGTTCTTGTAGAATAGAAATAACAAAACAAATATCGATAGTTAAAGGTTACATTAGAAAACCAAAAATGATTTTTCCCTTGCCATCTTTGAAGGCTCAATTAATTACAATGTATTAGTGATCAGGATTGAAACACTTTTGAAAAAATGGACCAATTGGGATGATACTGAACTGATAACTGATATTTATGATAGAGAAATTTGGAAAACTTTCCTATCACAAATTGACACACCTGATTCTTTGCGATTTTTTACATCAAAAACTGCTGATTCTCATTTAGGAATTATGATAAATCTCGATTAGTTCTAACCATTCGATTCATCAGCATATAGTTGTAGCATCATATATAGTGTTATATGTAACCTTTCACGTGAAGTTCGATTTAAAAAGAAAAATATATTGATACTTGGACTATTACCAGGTCCCAAAGAGATAAAGTTACATCGTATAAACCACTATTTTTTCCTGATAATGGATGAATTATTAGAATTGTGGAATGGATATGTCATATTAATTTCAATAAAATTTCTGAATGGAAAAAAGAATTAGGTTAGCTATCATTTGCTGCTCAAATAATATTCCAGCTGCTAGAAAATTGTGCAGTCATATATCGGCATTAACTGGCTGCCATCAATGCTACAAACGTGCAAATACAGTAGGTAGAAAACCAAATTTTGGTAGATTCGACCTTAAAGAACATATCAGAAATGCTGAAGAATGATGACAATGCAAAACAAAAGATAAAAGAAAGCAGCATGTTTCTGATACACATGTACATTGGTCAGAAATATTAAGGCTGCTTTATTTTAATCCAATTTGATATTTTGTCATCGATCTGATGCATTGCCTTTTCTTGGTATTGCCTATTGGATAGTAAAAAGGTTATGGTCTAACAAAATCGATCTTGTATTATTAGAAGAACAGGTAAAAAACATCAACCTACCCACCAATTTGGGTCAGATCCCAAATAAAATTTCAACTGAAGAAGGGTTTTCTGATTTTACTGCTAATCAATGGAAGACTTTTATTTAGTATATGCGACTCCATTATTATAGGATCTTTTGGATTTATCAGATAGAGAAATTTTAGTTAATTTTGTTAAAGCTTGCTCATTACTTGTATGTCGAATAATTGACAACAATATATTGACTGAAGCTCATGCCCAATTGTTACAAGTAG